CTCCGCCTCCTCCTCCTCCTCCTCCTCCTCCTCCTCCTCCTCCTCCTCCTCCTCCTCCTCCTCCTCCTCCTCCTCCTCCTCCTGCCTCCCCCCTGCAGCCCCCCGCGCCTCCTCACCCCCCCTCCCAGCTGCACAGCTGCAGGGAGGGTAGGGAAGGGGAGGGCCCCACGAGCGAGGATCGACTCGGGAGCCAGGCGGGCGGGGATGCGAGAGGCTCATCGGAGGATGTCCCCCCTCTGGTGGGACTACGCGCGGCCCAGCCCGCGCCTGTCTCGTGAGATTATGGCCTTAGCATCGTTCTGATGCTGACGAGCAACGCTGGCTGAGATGAAGACGGAGAAGGAGGAGGAGGAGGAGGCGGAGGAGGAGGAGAAAGAGGAGCAAGAGGAGAGGAGAGGAGGAAGAGAAGAGGAGGACGAAGAATGACACATAGAAGGACAAAAGGGTGAGCAGCAGGAAGGGGAGGACGCGTAGAAGCAGCTGCAGCACAGACCCAGCTGACATCAGTAGTGGCCATCAACAATGGGTGGCTAAGATCGGACGTGCTGACATAAGCAGTGGCGCGCCACTCGACAACCGTCCGTCCCTTCCTTTACGCCATCTCATCACCATGCCCAGTCCACCTAATCCCCGACTACAGCGAAACCACTGGGTTTGAAGCAACCCCACTGGCGTCGCTGCCTGGGATACGCAACTCTGCCCCAGCCAAAAAGCTCAAGCACACCTCTGCCCCAGTCAGAAGCTTCAGGGGGCAAATTGCGGGGCGCCACCAGGCGCTTTCCATACTCACCGGTGTACTCATTCGGCGGCATCACACGACCCCCAGGCTGGGACGCGGGCTCCTGCCGCCAAACCACCTGGGCCCCCCTGACTGCTGGAGGCTGCCGGAGGTCGTCCTGGCCCATGTTGTCCACGGCCTCTCGCGCCATGCTGAAGCCCCATGGTCCCCTCCAGACCTCGTGAGGAGCGCTGTGGAGGGCACCTGAGCGACGAAAAGAAGCGGGTCTGACGCGCGAAGACGCAGCGACCTGATGCCGCGGCTTCTGCGAGCCGCAAGCGTGGCACACCGCGTGGAGGTGAGGGCGCTTACGCGCGACCTTACAAGGGAAGCCTACAGTGCCTGCAGCAAGTTTGTGTCGTGTCGACCCCGGCGTTAGTTCCTGACACCGCGGGGATCGTTCAACCTTGAACGATCGGCAGTTTCTGAAACGTCGGATCGTTCAACATCGACCGATTCTGGGTCGACGGCGGCGTTCAACGTTAAACGCCGGCGGCGGCGTCGCCGCCAGTCGAGACGACGCGAACCCAGCGCACGCGCGAACGTCCGCACAGTCGACCCCGTTTTCCTCCGTCGCCCACCCGGGCATCCCTGGAAGAGCCGGGGCCACCTCGGGCAGAGGTCGGGGATCCACTGACCCGAGTCCATCCAAACCGGGGACAGTCGGGCACTTGCAGGATCCTGCAAGCTTCTGCAGGATCCTGGAGGCCTCTGCACCCAGGCCCGCGTCAGTGCAGCTCTGGCCCTGCAGGATCCTGCGAGCTCCCGCGCCCTGCCTGGCCCCCGCTTGCAGCGGCCCCCGCCCCTCGAGCCCCGAACGGGGCCACCTCCGGCAGCACGGGCGATCTCTCCGCGGCAAAGGCTCTCGCGGGCCCTGAGCCGGGAAGCGGTGCTCTCCGGGGCGGGGCGCGCGGCGCGCGGCGGTGGGGAGGGCTCGGGGCACCGCTCGGCTCGGGAGGCGCGGGCGCTCCAGAGGAAGTCCCTCCGCAAGCTGGGCCTCTCAATCACGCTCATCCTGGTCGCACCTGTGCTCTGCCTCTCTCTCTCTCTCTCTCTCTCTCTCTGGCGGGCAGCGAGGCTCAACTGACTGGATGGCTCGCGGAGGGACCTCCGCATCCTGCATTTGTGCCTCCGTCGTGCTTCCTGCTCACCAATCTCCCCCTCCACCTCCTAATTTGGACTCCTGATCCTTCCCTTTCCTTCCCTCCCCTTCCCGTCTCGCCTACGCGTCGCGTGCGTCGGATTTCATCGAAGGGTGCACACAGAGGCCCGTTGCGATGAAACGACTGAATCCATCTACCCCCATTGGGAACGTGATCATGATCATCAGAAGAGTTCCCCAGCTGCAGCCATCCATGACTCCAGCACTCAGTATCCATCCCTGCGCATGCTTGCAGGTAAAGCTCCAGTCACTATGCTCACATATGTCCGTTCCCCTCGCGCGCCATCTGCACGTGAGGACCATCAGATGGAAGGCTGATGAAGGCAATGGATACAATCACAACCAGGGCACGCCACTCCACATGATCTGAAGCAAGCAAATTCATGTCAGCAGACCTGGCCGCGATCAAATCAAGATCACACAGCTTGATGTGTGGCAGCCCTCCCCCCACCAGTGTAGGGCTGAAGCCGAGCAAGGCGGCAGGGCTTCCATCTCCACGGATGTGTTGTCGTGGAACTCCTGCCGCGCACCACGGTTCTGAAGCACTGCTTGTCCGAAGAGGGCGCGGAAGGCAGCGCGAAAGACACTGGACTCTCTCCTACCCCTCCTCCCCTCCCTCGGCCCACCTTTCCTTGAAGATGTTCATCGCCTTGCCGAGCTCGAAAGCCTGCGCCACTGGCGAGGGAGGAGACGGTGTGAGGCGGGAGGGAAGGGCAGGACAAACCTTCATAAACCGTCACCCGAGGCTATCGGAGGACCCCCGTCACACACTGTCTTCCTCACCGTGGAGCGCTTCGGTGCTCCTCGGCGTGGGAGGGCCGCCACTCGGCTGGGGAAAAGTTCTGCTGGTGGAGCTGACGGCGACGGCGGCGACGGCGGCGGCAAGGATGGCCCTCAGACCAGGGGGCACATGGGCCCGACCGGCCACGGCCCCAGCCTGGCCTCCGGCGTCGCCCCTCGGAGGAGGGCGGGGGAAGGGGGGAAGGGGGGGAGAGAGGGAGAGGGAGGAGAGGCGGGGAGGAGGAGGACGAGGACAAGGAGGAGGAGGAGGAGGAGGAAGAAGAGGGCCAGGAGGAGGAGGACCAGGACGAGGAGGAGGAGAGGAAGGAAGGGGGGCGAAGGGGGATGAGGCGGACGAGGACGAGGAGGAGGAGGACCGATCCCCAGACGACCCACCGTGACCGCACTGGAGCAGGAGGGCGGGGGGGCGCGGCGGAGAGGAGCTCCGTGCAGCCCTCCGGGGGGGGGGGCCTCGCACGGGGGGGGGCCGCCAGCGACAGGCAGAGCCCCCAGAAACAAGGCAAACGGCAGGGTGGACAGGGGCAGGGGCCAGAACGGGCGGGACCCGGACGTCAGGCATCGTGTTTTGTTCGCAGCATGGACCTGAGGAGGTTTGGACCCCTTCTTCGGGACCCGCTGCTCATCGTAAGCCGTTTTTGTTGGCGGCCCTGGGGCCTGGTGAAGGCCCCCAGAGGAACAGAGTGATGGAAAGCCTTTCGCTGATTTTGCGGGCATCGCGAGGGTCCCATTCTGCTGCAGCGCGCGGCGTCCGTCCAAGCGTGAGCTGTGCCATCGGCCACTAGCCTGAAAGCCTAGCAGGGAAAGGGAGAAAGAGAGAGGAGCGTGGGCGGATGAGCAAAACGACGAGGCAACAGGGGAGAGGACACCTAGTAAAGCAGTATGCGCCCCGCCTCTGCCTCGCGCCGGGCGGCCTTCGTGCTGCGCGACGCGAGGAGGTCTGAGAGCTAAAACTACCGCGTGTTCCGACCCCGCCCCTGCTCCAGCCAAACGCGGACGGCAAGAAGGCACTTCCGGAAACCCAGAACCCAAAAATGCTTTCATTTCTTGGGGGCGCATCTGTTACTTCCGCCGGAGGCGGCCTCGTTTCACTTCAGCCGACCTTCTGCCACCCTTCTGCCGCCTTCCGCCGCGGGAGAGATGGCAACTCCTTCTCGAAGGCAAGGCCTTTCCTGGAGCGCCCCATATGTGCAGGGAGAACCCACAAAATATCCCACAGTTGATACAATTTCGGAGGTCCGTGCGGATGCCCTCGGTCGGCATGGACACTCCCCCTCGACCCAGGCCGTGCAACGGGGGGGTCAGCACCAGGGGGGCCGCCACTTCTTCGAGGAAACGCCGGCTCCTCCAAAAAACGTCCCCGCCCGAGCACTCCAGAACCCCCCAAAACGGCCCGAAACGTCCTAGAACCTCCCCGGGCTTCGATCCTAAAGCATCGATCCTCGGCAGGAGGTGGTGGCCACCCTATAGGGGTGGCCCCCCTTGGCAGTCCGCGATCCCACAAGAGACGGGCTCCAGACCCCCGCGAGGCCCTCCCCAGGACCAGCCCTTCAATCCCGAGCCGTCGTTTCACGGTCTTGGGGCCCGTGGAGGGGCCCAATTTGGGATACACAGAGACATACTAGTACTATATGTCCTCCTTGGAGGCGCGCGTCCGACCCGAACATATAGTATACCCATCTTGTAGTATATCGTTTCCCGAGCGGTGTGGCCAGAAAGCGCGCGCCACGACGCATGTACTATAAGATTTCTCGGTGCGCGCGCCGCCCTGGGGGGGGGCGACGCACATATAGTGTAAGTATATTGGGGTGTTGCCGACCCAAGGTCAAGTAAGCCTTGCACTGGCCGGTGCGCGAGCAAAGCGAAGCATTGAACAGGCTTGCCGCCGATCACGCTGTGGAGGGCCCCAGGGGTCCGAAAGCAGCGACCAGTCTTGACCCGCTTCCTCCGAAGCCCTTCCGGGAAACCCGCGCGAACCTCCGATCGTTTAGGTGAATGTCCTTCCTGAGGGGGCTACCGGCTACGGCGATGGCCCCGCGCGCGTGGCGCCCTGAAGGCGCGGCGGAGAGAGGGGGCCGAGGCGCCTGCATGACCAAAGTGGGCAAGACGCACGCATGGGAAAACGATGAACGGCAACCCTCAAAGGAGGAGGAGGAGGAGGAGCAGGAGGAGGAGGAAGAGGAGGAGGAGGAGAGTGAGGACAAGGAGGAGTAGGAGGAGGAGGAGCAGTGTAAGCTGTAAGCCCACAACGGACCAACGGCGTTGCAATAAGCCATCCTGTGCCATCCTGTCAAATTCCCTCTTCATACGCACCAAAACAAAAAAGCATTCTGGGGAATGGCCCATTCGAAGACCACCGCATGAGAATCTTCAATCTTACCAAAACACCATTCCTGAGACTTCCCCGACGCAAATCAACATGACTGCTGCATCCTGAGAATATCCCCCATCGCGCCAGAACACAACATCGCTCCTGGGAGCTCGGCACCGCGAAACCACGTGAAGACTGCGTCAGGCCAATTCTAAATCGTGCGGGGACACCTTTCCTTGGACGTTAACCTTACAACCCCTGGAAACTGCTGCAAACGTTTGAAACGAACTCGCACCGCGCTAAGGCGAGAGCCACAGGTTGAAACGGAATTACGAAGCTACTGAGACAGCCTAAGACGAACGCGTGCGGCGCCGAGGCGAGCGCCGCGTCTTGAAAACAAACCGCTCTCCATCATCTGTCGCAAATGTCAAACTTCAGGATCACATCTTGCGAAGAATACTCAGCTGGGAACGCCCTAAGAAAAATTCGTTATCCGGAAACGATACGGGGAAGGGCGGAAAAGTGCAACGACCCAAAGAAAAGGGGACGAAGCAGTCAAGAGCATAACAGGGGACGAAACGACTGCCAATGATCCCGCAACAACCAAGCAAGGACAAGCCTGCGTCGGGCGATCCGCTTGTACCAAACAGTGGTTTCCGTTCCCGCGAGGTGTCCTGGATGCTTGTACGTATGATACTGGAGATAGCGTCGTGGAAAACTGCAACAGATGCGAATTGGGATTTCGAAGGCAGCTAGAGGGGGGGAATAGCACGAACTCAACCAGCAGCAGAGAGAAAGTACGAGGGCAGGCATGGGAGAAAGGAACGAACAGGACGAGAGCAAGAAGGACATCTCATAGAATGTACAGCGTGACCGCCCCCATAACGATCTTACAACTAGACCGTGATGACGGGCCTGGGAGAAACGGGCACTGTTACATCAGGCATTACAAACTAAACGGCGAACACCAGAAACTACACATAGGGGGGACAATCACCTGCAACAGACGAAACAACATGCGGGCGACCAGGGTTTCCAGGAGGGTCGTGTCTGTCAGCACGGGCCACGAGCAGCACAAGCGGAGCATCAGCCTTTTCTTCCTCTTGCGCCGCAGCACCCCCGTCTTCCCTGGGAGGCGACGAATACAGGACAACAGTGGAACACCAGTAATCGCCTGCGACGGCCGCGGGTTCTCTTGCATATGGTAATACGAACTCCTGAAAGGATACCTTCCCCACAGGAGGTGCCAGAGGGTATACCAGAGATGGCTTCCCCATATGGTAACACGTACTCCCCTTGCCGCAGGGTATACCAGAGATGCCCTCCCCACAGGATAGCACCAGCATCGTCATCGTCAAGCGAGCCCAGGAGACCACATAATTCCCCGAAAGCACTAGATTGGAAGGCGGCATGATGCATGGCGGCTCTCGCCATGCAGAACAAATGTCGGGATTGCGCGTCAATCCCACCGCTTTTCAAGGTCACATGATAGCTCATAAGAGATGGCCTTCCGAGGAACATCCACCAAGTTCTGGAGGATTCGAAACTCCCGCTGGTGGGCGCACTTGGGTAGGGCAACACGTTGGGTCACAGAGCCAAGGCGCGCAAAGACATAGACGTCATACCTGAGAACCGCTCCGAAGAAATACATTCCAACTTCGACGAAGAACGTTGTTGGCGGGGGGGGCAATCAAGTGCATCCGCCTCCTTGCCCGCCCATACCCCAAGATGCTTCCAAGCCGCGCCAAGAACAAGTTCGGGGAGCTGCAGTCCACGCTGGCGCTTGTTGTCGAACTCGCCGCGGCAGAGGCCACCCACGACAACCACCACACACTTGAGATTGGGAGGGTAGAGAGAGAGAGAGAGAGAGAGCGAGAGAGAGAACCAAAAAAAACTGCGAAAATTGTGGCACCGGCGTGCAAACGGCAAGAGCAGCAACCACACCCGCAGCGCCAACTCCCAGGGCGCCCGCAAACGCCGCTCCAGCCCCGGGGCTTCCAGACGGCCTGCCTCCCGGCAGTCTCAGAACGAGGTCGACCGTCAAGGCGCACAAGGCCCCAGAAGGAGGGCAGCCCTGCCAGATGCCCCTGGGGACCTATGAGGAGGGGCCACGAGACCCACCAAAGATGGCCAGGCCCGACTCCCGATGTGAAGAAAAGAGAATCACGTCTAGAGGAGTCTCGCAGCTAGGCCCAAGACTTCCGAAAATCCAGGAGAGCAGCCGGCGCAACAGCGACGGGAACACACTCGTGAATCGAACTGGGAGGAAGCCTGCACGAGGATTACGCCGTCGGGCAACCCAATGCATAACATAGCTTCCAATCTGTTCCAAGGCGTCATCCATCGGCCTTCTGGGGACAAAGCCTCTGAATGGAGTTGAGGCACAACCGCCTGCGAGCCCTCGGGGCACTCACCCTTGGTCAGCACAACAAAACAAAACGCCTCGAAGAAGAAATGAGGAAGGGGGAAGGGGGGGGCGCAAATCACCGCCCAGAAACGCCCGACATACACGGCAAAGAACCCCCGCAGCGCCCGGCCCCGAATCACCGCGTGCACGACAATGGGCGCCATCGGCACCAGGGCTCGCACCTCTAGTTTTCTCGACTGGCTTCTCGAACCTGGGCGGCTCGAGGAAGCACTTGATCAGCTGGGCAACTGCGACATGAAGGGCGCGGCTGGTCGCATGCGCACAGAAGAAGTCCCGTGCCCCATGCACACGGCCCGAACATACGACACGCCTCATCAGGGCCCGTCGGGTCGGCCACTGCAGATAGACATGCCGCTCTCCCAGCGCCGCACCCCGCGCAACAGCATGCTGAGTGAGACGGCGGGGCAGAGGCTTTCTGCAACGCTCTGATGCGTCACTGGCACTCACATCCTGCGCTTTAACACGCAGCGACTGTCGAGACACAGCACACTACTCTGGCGAAGGAGATGCCCCTCGCACCCCCAGCCGTCTCTCGAGGGCCTGCGCAGCAGCACGCACCAGGTCAGCCCCACCAGACCCCAGGGGTCCTCGTGAAACAGCAGATGTTGCTCCAGAAAGTCCTCTGACGTAACAAGGCGATTGGAGCTCATCGAGATCTACTCAGAAATCCCAGGAGCACTGTGGGGGGCAGTCGAAGAGCTTGGCGGCGTTGGCAAAGGTATCTACCCACTCCAGCTGTCCTGTCGACATGGCCCGCTCGTCGCGCACACCAGCTCAACGCGTGGCGAATGGGCACTCAATCTCCGCAATCCTAGGTGCGCCCGAGATAACTCAACACGAACAGTCCTGGTAGGATACGTAGTTTGCCCAGACATCTGGAGGCTCCTCTCACCAGCAGCAGGGACCCTCCAACCCCAGGAATAAACGCAACAGCTTGCGAGGCCGTCGGGGGGCAGCCCTGGGTCCGCCACAAGAGTTGTTTCTGCCGGGCGGCACGTAGGCCGGGATCCACATGGGCAGTCACAATGAACAGCAAGCCACGACTCCCCTGCAGCGATAGCAGGCGCACCCCCCCAGGACCAATAAACGCATGTGAGACCACAGAAAAAAGGATTCGTCGCACTTGCGGGCTAACAAAAATAGCACCGCTACCAGCTGGAGCACGAGAGAAAGGAAGAAAACACCATACGCCTGAAGTCGCAAAATATCCTTACAAGTCATGTTGAGAACCCCTAGACTCCTGGACACGGGCAACACTATGCTGGGTAAAAGGCAGCCCAGGTGTCTGACAATTGACGCTGAGTGTCGTAAGAGAAGAGCAGGCAG